CCATGTGTCAATATATGGAACGTGTGCAGTGCCCAAATCTCTCGCGACTCTCGCACAAGTTCCGAGCTTTGTTCCCCGCGCAGGAGCGCATGCTCCCTTTCGATGCAACACCTTCCCCTGCCGAGGCCGGTTGATTAATTGCGTGCTGCTAAGTTCAGCACAGGTTGCAGGTCGCAATGCTTTATCCAATCGGAATTGGCAGCTGAATTAAGGGCAACTTCTTTGGATAGTTTCTGTGCCTTCTTGCACCACTGAACAGCATCATGACGCACTTGTTTCAGATTCTCAGTCCGTAGTGACGATACAGCGACGCCAAACCTTGGCTGCAGGCACCACCACAATCCTCTTCTACTTCCCTTTGCGATCCAGAACTTTGTGCACCAGAGCCCAGGGAGGTTTCTATGGTTTCCTAGAAAGATATAGGGTGGGTTTCCCATTTAATATATGGTTATCACAACAAAGAGCCTCACTTTGGGGCCTTAGTGGCTTACTTGCGGTTCCAGGGTGTGGGGATCCTATAGCTACATGTTTATAGGGTTAGCGGGTATTCTAAGGTCCCTTTTTTTACAATGTAGCTGAAGAAGGGTTTCTATATTCGATATCCAAGACTCTGGTAGGGATAAGATTGTGATGCACGCAGATCTTGCCCACCAGTCACAGTAGTCGTACCGTCGTCGTTGGTGTTTCGGACAACCATTTCAAGTTTAGTCGGTTCGGGAAACCAGCGTGGTCGGAATTCACTGAGCTCACCAACTTCCGGTCGACCTGGGTTCGGGCATTATTTCGGGAAGCCTATATACCTTCTAAATAGGTTGTGTGCATAAATAACAAAACAACACAGTCTCAATGCTTGAAAGCAAGGACTTGAGTACAACCAGGTTGGTTTCTCGCAGCCGTGGGCGAAATCAGCCATGCGGATAAACTGCTTGTACACATCCACACGAGCAAGAAACTGCTGGAAAAGAGGGTGCATCTCCATCAGGGAGCCCTTCGGTTGCTCTAAGAACCACCAGCACTGTAGAGCAGCGCACACGAATGCAAGAACCAACGTTCTAGCAGTAATCGTATTGCCTTGCGATACAGTATCGTGCGAGGCATTTCCCAGCGGTCTCACCGTGCTTCTTTCAGTTTTGGAGCGACACCTGAGTACGAAATCACTCTGAAAACTAAGCTCCCCCCAGCTTAGAACTATAATGTTGCCCATACCCTCAAAGCACAAACAGCCTAAACAGACTAGCAATCGACAAGTGGCATGAAAACCCAGCTTGAACAAACTGGTGCGAAAAACGCCCCGCCGCCCACTCGCAAACGGCAGCACTGCGCAATAGAGTGAAGGAAACCGATAGGATCGAGGAGGTTCTGGCCCGACAAGTCGTTTCGAATATCATAGGCAACTGCCGAACGACCGGCCTTACAGGGGTCATACTAGTGCTCTCAGCAAAGCAGAAGCATACCAAATCCTTGTTGAATCTCGGAAGTAGAAGCTTAGATTATCTCAACCCAATTAAGCGGATCCTTCGCTTCCGCATTCGTGATGGACATAACACCAGCAAAGGCTTCGAAGTGATCTAGCGAACAATCAGCATCGAAGCAAGGCAAATCGAGAGCCATGAGCACTAGCGTTGCAATAACCTTGGCATCGTAACGGTACGGTTGGTTTTCGATACCCTGTATACATATTACATAAGAACCATCAAAGATTCTGTAAATAAGCCAAAAGGCAGCAGGAGCCTTGAGGAAGCGGAGGCCACTCAAGATTCTGGCTTGCTGCTTCTCTCGGAAGCATAGTTTCGGTTCACGCACAATCTCATTGGCGCAGCGCTTGCGCTTCTTGCCGTTCATGGCCGACAAAGGGGCACAACAGGTCAATATTAGGTTGATTACAGTGACAAGTTATGAAATATATGGCAGAATTAGCCAGATGCGCTATCCGGGTTGATTGGAACGACGCACTATGTATCCGTGCACCACACATTTGGCTATATGTCGAATCTACACTTGCAGCCCACAGACTTGCAGTGTCCGCCGAAGCCCATTGAAAGAACATTAGCTCAAATCGAACAGAAGATCCCATGTAACCCACGTAGACAAACTACTAAAGCTTATAGGAGGAACGGGTTATCGGTAGAAGTTGACGTAGGAGGACCATATAACTAAGCCCCAGGGCACGTATCCCCAAAAGATCAGAACCCTTAATAATCCCATGTACTATGTACTCATCTTTTAGGGAGCCATTCCTGAACAGCAAAGAGACCTGGGAACTTGGTTTAGGATTTAGGGTTTCTGGGTGTAGTGTCAGGAAGCTAGATTATTCTGAATGGCGTTAGCCACAAACTATATCCCTCAAAAAAGGTCTTAACTTAAGTCCCTTTAACCCAACAGCCCTCCAAAGAGAAACTCAAAGCGACCCGGAGTCTCCTGCCAACTCGTTGATGATGGTGTGAGCAGGCAAGCCTCATCGTTCAATTTACTTCGGGTACAGTTTCGGGCTCGTTTCGAGGTGCTGGGCTCTTGTCTTTAATCTCTATAAGCCTACATGCAGTGTCCAATATATGAGCGATTCCCATAAATAGGTCTCTTTTTGATTTTCGAAACCCAGGATGATGAGATGCTCCAGCAAAAGTCGCTGGTACTGATATAATTGTGATAGGGATGTATGAGGGGTAGAAGAGCAGTGACATTAGTAGCATCACATGCAGCTGCTGCTGCAAGAGCAGTAATATTCGTAGACCAGCAGGAGTAGGAGGAGTAGTTGTAGCAGTAGCATTAGCAGCAGCAGCAGCAGCAGTAGGAGTAGCAGTAGTAGTAGCAGCAAGTAGTAGTAGTAGTAGTAGTAGTAGTAGCAGTAGTAGTAGCAGTAGTAGTAGTAGCAGCAGCAGTAGTAGTAGTAGTAGTAGAGTAGTAGCAGCAGTAGTGGTGGTCGCAGTTGCGGTAGCAATTGAAGAGTAAGATCATCATGGTACTGTATTTTATTCTACTAATTAGTATGATAGTAAACGCAGAATGGCATCGTGCCAATTTTGCTACAAGTAACAGCAGGACCAGCTGCAACAATAGAACCGATTTTGTAGTGATCGCCTACCCCAACGTGCAAGAAAGGAAACCGATATATATAGCGCCACCGGAACCCAAATCCCAAAACTCGAGCCGTAATTCAATGACAGAAACCTGATAGCCTTTGAACCCGGATATAGACACACTATTGTGGTGACCGACACCCCGTAGAACCCTTCTAGTGCCGGTACAGTAGTACCCTTGTCTAGATAGAATGCCTTAAGTTATAATACAAGCTCCGAAACCGTCCTTCAGCAACGGACCGTGGTCTCTGGCTGCCTGGGAAGGGCTTTGGGCTTCGGGGTTTAGGGTTTGAGTGGATTTAGGAAGTTCGGGTTTAGGGTTTGGGGTTTCGCTTCAGGAGCGTACATGGGCTAGGATTTGAAGGTTTAGGCTTAGGTCTACAAGTTCCCGGATTCGGGACTACGCACTACTGCTACGACGCTACGACGACAACTACCATTGCCATTGCTGCTGCAACAGCCTGTGCTATGTTGCTGGTGCATGGTAGTAGTAGTAGTAGTAGTAGTAGTAGTAGTAGTAGTAGTAGCAGCCGTAGTAGTAGTGGTTGTAGTACTACTGCTACTACTGCTACTGCTACCTACTACTATAGTTCTACTAGTACTACTGCTACTACTACTGCTACTGCTGTTGCTGCCACCACCACCACCACCACCACCACCACCACCACCACCACCACTAGCACCACTACCATGCACTACCACAACCACCGCCACTACTATTTCTACTACTACTACTACTACTACTGCTACTACTGCTACTACTACTACGACTGCCACTACTATCAAATCATACCATACTATACTACGACGACGACTAGTACTACTGCTGCTACTACTACTACTACTACTGCTACTTGCTCTTATACCAAACTGCTCCTGTCTCGCTGCTGCTATGGCCTGCCACTGCGACGACTGAGACTTCCACAGTACTGTATGACACCGACGATGATGACCTCAACGAATTGCATGACTGTTCCTGCATGGTGATTTCATGGACACAAGCCTTGACCTTCCAAAAAGTTGGTGTAATTTATAAAGGCCATGAGAATCACTACAGTCTACTCAACCACACGGCTATAAAGCGAGGACCGAGCTGTGTAAAATGTTCAAGCTCCATGCTGGCACCAAACGAAGCGAGGCCCAGGCCCAGGCTCCACATATGAGAATGTAAATCAAGATGTGCCCCACCTGCACGAGACGAGAGCCCATGGTGAATCACGTATATCGAGCAGCGCTTGCACTAGCTTTCACTACCGCACAAGATAGCATCGGTCTCTAATTTTTCGTCGCTCGCTCGGCATAGCCCCATAGCTGCGTGCAATGCTTTGTCCCGTTCATAATAGCCTTTCGGTGATCGCACCGTTAATTTCGCAGCGGTATAGAATTTGCTATACACTGCAAAGACCCAAAAGATCGCACAGCCGTTCCTTCACCATGAAAAGACCAAGCACATAACACTTCTGAGGCCAGTATGTTTGTGTTTTCATCATCGTGTTGCAAGAGCTGTGGACCCACCCTACTGCAAGCCTGCCTGCTGCTTTGCCTTCAACCAAGCTTTTTCAATACCCCCGTTGATCGCCCAGCTGATGGTGCCTTTCTTGCCGGTCCCGATGGGTTTTTTGATGTAGAACCCTTTCTTGCGCATCAACACATCAAAGGTTGCTCCGCTCAAAGACAGGGTGTATGAATGCACTCCTCGACCCGGACCCTTAGGTCTGCACTCCTGGGGCATACCCAGGGCCTTCAAATCATAGGAGTGCCACTTGTCATCATTCTCTGTCTCGGCCACCGGCTCTGCTGGCAAGGCTGGCACAATTGCCAGGTTCGCATCCATCTCCGGCTCGCTGATCGGCTCACTTGCCAAAGCATCCGCTGAGCTCGATGGCGCAGCTGTCGAAGCAGTCGAAGACCGGCCCTTACCGCGGGGCCTCTTGAAACTGGCCTTGTTGGAGCTCGCACTTTTTGCCTTACGCTTGTTCTTGCCGCTGGGTTTGCTGACACGATCGAGATCCTCCAAACCCTCATGAAGCTGCTTGGACAACGGGTCCTCATCTTCCTTCGGTCCCCCATGCTCTCGCGACACACACGTCTTCTTCTTCTTCTCAGCCTTCATGACCCCATGCTCGCGCGACACACACGTCTTCTTCTTCTCAGCCTCCATGACCCCATGCTCGTGCGACACACACGTCTTCTTCTTAGCCGTGGACTCCCCATCCTCGCGCTGCGCATGCTTGCTCTTCCTCGGCTTGGCCTCAGAGATTGTTTCGATTCCCATATATAGGCCCTCACTCACTCACCCACACACACACATACACACGCACACACAAGATGCATGCATGAATTGTGGTGAGTCACCTGGTTAACAAAGGGAGAAGCACTGCCATCAACCATAGCCATCACATCTTCCATTTCGGGGGGCACTGGTAGGGCAGGTGCACTGTCCCATGCGGGTGTGTATGAAGCTTTCTTCGGGGAATCGATGGTCAACTGCTGCAAGGCGTTGCACAAAGACCCATGCTCCTGAAGACTGTTACTCAAAAGGCTCACTCACCTTTACTTTTTCGACGTGGGAAGTCATGTCCGGACACCATGACAGTCTTTCAGACAGCTATCATCATTTCAAAGGCCGAGGGGCGGTGGAAGCCGTGGCCCCACTTGCCTGCAGCGATCAGCAGAATGCATGCAAACACATTGTAGCTGGAGACAGCATACCACGAAAATTGCAAACCAAGCTTCTTGGGAGTCCTCCATGGTTTTGGCCGCCTCGACAAGAAAGCCAGGCAGCTCATCATCGCTGTCATTGCCCGTCTTCCTGAAGGACTGCTCGGGCCGGCTGTCCTTCTTCTTGTCCTTCTTCTTGTCCTTCTTCTTGTCCTTCTGCTTGTCCTTCTTGTCCTCCTTCTTGTCCTTCTTCTTGTCCTTCTTCTTGTCCTTCTTCTTGTCCTTCTTCTTGTTCTTCTTGTTGTCCTGCTCCTCCACTGCCTTATCCCTCGGGACCAAAGCGCAACCACAGCCCACGCAACATCCTTCATTCTCGGGCATGACATCGCAGAAGTCGCACGGCGACTGCACCGCTTCATCCTCCGACACTAAGTGATCGCCCAGCTTCACTGTCGTAGCCAGGGACGCACTGTCGTCCTCATCGCTGTCCTGTATGCATAACCACCCTCAAAACAATTTAGGTTTCAGTGGCTCCAGATTGCATACACAAACGAGGTCCTCGCAAACGGCGGGGTCGTGGGGAGGCAAACTTGTCGAGCAGCTCGCTGGGGCTTGGTGAACCTTACTTTCCGAAAACTTTCAGCAACTTTAAGTACCAACTCTACACAATACACGCACACATTATGGACTTGCAGAGGCTCGGTTTCAACATCCGTCAAGTCAAGCTCCGGATCACTCATCGCATCATCGGACTCGGAGGATTCGTAGTCTTCACGCAGGGCCAGGAGTCGATTGTCGAAGTTCTTCGTCTCGGCTAGATTTTGATATCACATTCACGAAGCGCATGTTACAAATCACGCACACACCCACACACACACACACACCCACACACACACCCACACACACACACGGTATTTAGGCAAGTAGCCGGGCCAGCATCAACAAACTTCTTGGGATCCACAGGATTACCGTAGTGATCTCTTGGGGACACCATGCCCGCCGACGGGGCATCTCGCCGGGGAGGGCTGTCCTTGCCCGGGATGGGGCGGTCTGCGCGCTTGGTCCAAGCCGGGATGCCGTGCTCGTCGTCCTTATCTATAGTATAGACGGCATATCCAGCATCACACAACTGATCGAACGGATTGCATAATGCTACCTAAGTCTCATCTCCGACATCACTATCATCTCCACGGCAATCTGCATCTCCACAGCTGGATCGGCCGGACTGGTCCTGATGCGGCACAGACGCACATACCCACCCTCGCGCACACCCACATGCGAACTTCAAGTCTTGCACACAAACTGTGTTATATGCATACATAAGAGTTTCATGGTTAAATGCCGAGAAGTATCATCCGATGCATCTTGGCTGGCTTCGGCCTCAGGTAGCATTTCAATTACGAACAGAAACATGAGGCTTGTCCAATCCAAGTTTCGTCGGAGCCAACACCATCGTACCGGATGGTGTTGTTCTCAGCTGCACAACATACTATGTGCCGACACACACAACCACAGATACTGAAGAACGAGCACATGCAAACATCACTCTGGTATCCATGCTCTCCAAGTATCCTCCGAATCATCCTCGCTTGTGTCGGCCTGGAACTACCCACACACGCAAGCTGCAACACAAACATATTGAGAATTTTCATGCCGTCGAAGTTTCGTTTGAGTTGTCACCATCTCCGGGGCAATCTGCAACTCCACCGAGGGATCGGGCGGATTCGTCCTCAGCCACACACCCACAGACACACGCACAGTGCAAAGGATGCAACCAAACAAACAAAGGGCCGCCGAAGCATCATCGGATGCATCCTCGCTGGCTGCGTCCTCCTTAAGTGACAAGCACACACACACATTATAATGCACAGGCTGCCTACCTGCCCTGATCATGTAACTGCATGATATCCAAGTTTCACTTTCACTCTCAGCAGAGCTTGCATCGCCCAGACCGAGATCCTCAGATCGCATGCACACATACACACACACGCACAAAAACCAGCAAAATGTGCGAAAAGGCTGCACGCTACGACTATGGTCTGCTTATGCCGCTGAAGTCTCATCATCTGAGTTCTCTCCATCTCCAGCACCAGCCGGATCTGCACTCATATCCTCGTCGACCTCGGATGGCACATGTATGCTGAAACTACAATATGCAGTAGAATTAGAAGGTTTGGAAGCCTGTATGGAAGCTTGATATAATGCTGTCGTGGTCTCCGTTGCAACACTGCTGTCATCGTCGCTCGAAGCTTCATCCTTAATGATGACGGATCCCGCGTATTTTGGAGCACGCACAGGTTTCGCAATGAGCATCAATGCAAGACAAGCCTCGCCGGAACTATCACTCTCACTGGAGCTCTCGGCGGGCTCCTTGCACACAATGGGCTTCTTGCTCGGTTAGAAACTGCGACATGCAATTATACTGCTAGAAAACTTCTATTGCTGTCAAAAAGCTGCAGCTGCTGCCGCCGCCGGTTCAGGTGCCTTAGATCGATGTCGAAAAGAGAACGTATGGCACACAGTCTCCACGCTGAAGCGTGAAAGTTTTGTCAACAAGGAACCTTGGCTTCAGAAGCCTTGCCCTTGCGGGGGGATTTTTGCAGGTAACTCTTCAACTCGCTGACCTTCGGGTCCAGCGATTTGGCACCTTAACGTGACACACACACACATATACATGCACACACACACACACACATTCATCCGGGACTACTATGGCAACTGCAGAAACTACTGAGTCGAGATACTGTTCCGGAAAAGGTATCTGAGAGCTTGGATGCATCGCTTGAGTTTTGTAGCCTCCTGGCCGGCTGCGGTTTTGGCATCACCCCGCAACAGACGGGAGCCAAGCTTCTCATGCATCAGCAGCATGACGTCCGTGAGGAACAGTCCCGAAGGGACCTGCTGCAAGGTGCCATCCAAGAGCTTGCTCTCATGAACCGAAACGACATTATTCAAGTGCAACTCTTGTTGCGCCTTGGCCGGAAACTTCTGGACTACCGGTTTCAACAGCACAAAGTTTGCCCTGAGCTCGCGGTAGCTTGGGCGTGCAATTGGATGTTCGAGCCGGACGAAGTCCTTTGTGCCAGAAAAGTTCTCATTCATGATGATGCTTAATGCTTTCGATGGTAAGCCATTGATCATGTTCGTCGACAACTCATCCACATCTCTGAAGCTCCAAGGAATGGTCCCGGGACCTTCGGTGCGAACATGCATACATGAAGTGCTGTCCACCCCTTCTCACGACAAATGCTTCAATCCTTGCAATCGAAACACGGACTGACTTCCAGGTCTGCCCCAAGTTCTTGTCCGCAAGAGCCAGCTGCAACGCAGCATGGTGGTCAACCGGCACTATGGCGTGCTCTCCCGCCATGCTCGCAGCAGAAGCAAGGCAGCACGGAAGTGCTTCAAGAAGCAGGGAACTGCAAGCAGGCTGTAAGCCGTATGATTCACACGACATGCGGTGTGCAGCAAGGACAATGCATGACTTCCATCCCACTCATAGATCATACAGTTGCACGACAGTCACAAGAATGACCTCGGACTTGCCTCTCGCGCACACGATATGTAGAGGTCCCGCACACGCCACCTGGAAGTATTTTGACAGCTTACTCATATATGATCAATCTCAGACCTATTATCAGGTCAGCAAGATGAGGCCGCGACTGCAGCATGAACGTTCCACTCGGTGACGAGTCGCCGCACGATCACATGATTTCAGCAGGTAGGTCAAACTTATTATATGTGATTGCAGACATCTTAAGCATAGCAAATCCTTTGACACCTGCAGACATGTCTTCCTTGAAAAGTGATGTAACAGCATGACCGATCGAGGCTCTGCAGGCGAGCTTTCTTTGAGATCGTACGACACATGGGTGGCGACACGTCTACTGCAAAGATTGCTGACCAGACCTGGAAATCCCCGCGATCAACCGCAGAAAATCTGAGAATGCGGTCGTACATATGTGGTTCTCTCCATGTACATACATGATCCTATATGTGTATGTATATTTGGCCGAATGATGTTTATATGAATATGCAGACAGGCATGACCCTATAATTGGGCCAATGTCTGTCTGCTTCTCTATTTCGTAAAGTTAGGGAACTTAGGGTTTTCCTCCCGCGAATTTTTTTGAGCCGACTCCCTAGACACACAATACGGTGCACTCCATTCGAGCCAGTGTTGCCACACTGCAGCAAGCCATTCAGCGGTCATGCCATGGAGCACCAACACCATGTGCAGCATCATATAGTACATTTGAGCAGCATGTCTCGATCGTTTGGTCCGTGCCAATATCACTATAAAGGTTGGCCCGCCGCACCGGCAAGCAGAATCTCGATTCGGATCATGCAGTCATGCTGGTCCTGCAATCATCGCAAGAAAGAAGATATGAGGCCGAATGGATGTGCAAGCCTCTGATGATGGATTTACGTGAGTTTGTTTACGCGTCCCACGAGAGCTGCAAAACACCAAACGCATCATACAGCTCTACAAGAAAAGACAGCTCTTCAAAGGACAGCATCGGATCCTCTCGGTAGGGGGCTGCTTACTCCAACGTTGGAATAGGAGCGTGCCCTAGTAGGGGGCTGCTTACTCCAACGTTGGAGTAGAAGCGTGCCCTAGTAGGGGGCTGCTTACTCCAACGTTGGAGTAGGAGCGTGCCCTAGTAGGGGGCTGCTTACTCCAACTTGGAGTAGGAGCGTGCCCTAGTAGGGGGCTGCTTACTCCAACGTTGGAGTAGAAGCGTGCCCTAGTAGGGGGCTGCTTACTCCAACGTTGGAGTAGGAGCGTGCCCTAGTAGGGGGCTGCTTACTCCAACGTTGGAGTAGAAGCGTGCCCTAGTAGGGGGCTGCGTACTCCAACGTTGGAGTAGAAGCGTGCCCTAGTAGGGGGCTGCTTACTCCAACTTTGAGTAGAGCGTCCCTATTAGGGGGCTGCTTACTCCAACGTTGGAGTAGCAGCGTGCCCTGGTAGGGGGCTGCTTACTCCAACGTTGGAGTAGGAGCGTGCCCTAGTAGGGGGCTGCTTACTCCAACGTTGGAGTAGAAGCGTGCCCTAGTAGGGGGCTGCTTACTCCAACGTTGCAGTAGGAGCGTGCCCTAGTAGGGGGCTGCTTACTCCAACGTTGGAGTAGGAGCGTGCCCTAGTAGGGGCTGCTTACTCCAACGTTGGAGTAGGAGCGTGCCCTAGTAGGGGGCTGCTTACTCCAACGTTGGAGTAGGGGCGTGCCCTAGTAGGGGGCGCTTACTGTGAGGAGCGTGCCTAGTAGGGGGTGCGTACTCCAACGTGGGAGTAGAAGGTGCCCTAGTAGGGGGCTGCTACTCCAACGTTTGGAGTAGGAGCGTGCCCTAGTAGGGGGCTGTTACTCCAAAGTTGCGAGTAGGAGCGTTGCCCTAGTAGGGGCGGTACTCCAACGTTTGGAGTAGAAGCGATGCCAGAGTAGGGGGCGGTTACTCACCGTGGAGTAGGAGCGTTCCCTTAGTAGACGGCTGCTTACCCCAACGTGGAGTAGAAGAGTTGCCGGGTGATGACTCCAACGTTGGAGTAGGAGCGTGCCCTAGTAGGGGGCTGCTTACTCCAACGTTGGAGTAGAAGCGTGCCCTAGTAGGGGGCTGCTTACTACAACGTTGGAGTAGAAGCGTGCCCTAGTAGGGGGCTGCTTACTCCAACGTTGGAGTAGGAGCGTGCCCTAGTAGGGGGCTGCTTACTCCAACGTTGGAGTAGGAGCGTGCCCTAGTAGGGGGCTGCTTACTCCAACGTTGGAGTAGGAGCGTGCCATAGTAGGGGGCTGCTTACTTGAACGGTGGAGTGAAAGCGTGCCCTAGTAGGGGGCTGCTTACTCCAACGTTGGAGTAGGAGCGTGCCCTAGTAGGGGGCTGCTTACTCCAACGTTGGAGTAGGAGCGTGCCCTAGTAGGGGGCTGCTTACTCCAACGTTGGAGTAGGAGCGTTCCCTAGTAGAAGGTTGCTTACTCCAACGTTGGAGTAGAAGCGTGCCGGGCTGCTTACTCCAACGTTGGAGTAGGAGCGTGCCCTAGTAGGGGCTGCTTACTCCAACGTTGGAGTAGGAGCGTGCCCTAGTAGGGGGCTGCTTACTTGAACGGTGGAGTGAAAGCGTGCCCTAGTAG